TGCCTCGGGAATGCCCGGAGAATGCTCTGCCAATCCTGAATGTCGGAGGACCTCCCCTATTTAAGGGTAAAGCTGGCCGGAGAAAGTAGTCCTCCGGCCCAAGGTGAGGGGGCTGGGTTCATGCCCGATGGCGAGGATAAAAAAGGAGTGAAAGGGGTCGCAAATGGATAAACCCGTTCGAGTACATGACACAAGAATGCCAAACGCATTTCTTTGAAAGCTGCTGTAATAAAACTTATCGATAAACTCGTACTCTTACTTCTCTTTCTTGACCTGAGGATGTACTCTGCAAGTCGCGGTGATGAACACGCATCCGTGGGACGAATACGCTGCTTATCAAAGATAGATGGACTGTGCTTCGACTTGCCACTGTTCCTTTCTTGTTTCATGATGTCAACACCATTGAATGCATGTTGCATTTTCTTTCCATGGGTATATGAAACATTATGGAAATGCCATGTTTCAGGAAGAGGCTGAGGGCATAAAGCGTAGAAATCTGCTTTTGAGCCGTGTCAAACGTAGAGCCCCGAGAAATTCCATGAAAAGACAAATAGCCTGAAAGCTCTGCTCTACACATAACTGAAGAGCCAGATCGAAGAGCTTCGATCCGGCTTTTCGACGCCTTTTGCCCTGAGCCTCTTCCTGAAACATAGCATTTCCATAATGCTTTTCATGTACCAACTTGATACATGCATCAGGCAGACGCATGAAGATGATACATACATCCTAATGAGACTACATCGATAAAACAATCAAACAACTTCGTGAAATTGAATACAGTGAGTTCATCTTGGTACAGCCTTACAGTTAGACCCTCAATAACGGCCCGATAATGCAGTGGCTTGAGGGAAAGATAAAAGGAAACTGGCGACTTCTATGTCGCTGCCTTGCATCCCTATTTCTCGGGCATTTGGAGAGCTTTCTTCGCACTGCCTCAAAACCTCGAAACTTTTCTAGATTTTTCTGCATATTTTTATGCGTTTTCCTGCAACGTTTCATCAGAAAAATCGTTCTAGGTGGCCGTTTCGGGCGATTGGTATGACCCCATAGTCGCCATTAAATTTAGATTATTTTTGCAAGTTTCCTCTGTGAACATTCATCCCACGCCTTCAAAATTCTTATCTATTTTATGGTACACTTGTACAAGCTTAAATATCAATTAACATCAAGATCGCTCAACTCCTTGGTCGTGTCTGTTTTTGATGACGATTTGATGAAAATCCCAATTCTTCGTGCTTTAAAAAAAATAACCCCACTGCTCTTTAATGTAAGTCAATTTATTGACGATCACTATCAATTCCTTAAAAATTGTTGAATGAGCAAGAACCCTTCAGAAATAAACCGTATACTTCACCACAGTGAAGGTCCCTGTTTTCTCTCAACTGTCTCTCGAGTTCTGGACAAATTTGTTCTATGGAAATGGACCAACAGTCGACGGACTCGAAGAAGTCATAGAGGGTTCTGAATATGGTAAATCCATGATGAAAAGAATCACTGTATCCCTGAGCGATGGCCACTCCTTGGGTCTCGGCCGAATCGCAAATATTCACTTCTTTGCAATGGCATCCCTCCGGACATTCAGGGCTGTGAACACATGCGTGTGCTAGAAGGCAATATGTGTGATGGTAGTTGAACCGGCAGGGTAAGATGGCCACTTCTTCTGGATGACGAGAGAAATACACGTTGAGAATGTCTTGGTCACCATGCGTCATGTGATCTTTGTATTCCGAATAGATATCTACCATCTCCTCTCGCAAGGACGATTCGCGAATGCGAGAAAGATTCATCAAGATGATCCCGGCCTGAAGACCTGTATTCCCATAGACGGGAAAAGGAAAACGCCCTTCCCTGTAATGAACGGCATTCTCACGCTGAACTCCTTCGATCTCCTCTGCCATCACCATGGATTGGGGGCCGTTAAGTCGGTGGAATTGGGACCAAAGTTCTCGGAAAGATGAAAGGAAGAGGATGTCGGTGTCCGCGTATACGATGGCTGAATGTTCTGGGAGGGTCCAGGGTAAGAAAAGTCTGACGGCCCCGCACGGCTTGTCGTAGATATTCCGCCAGTCGAATCCACCATCATAAGGGTAAGAGACCAGGAGAAGTTCGTGGGTGATCCAAGGAGGAAAGAATCCCTTTTCCGACATCCGGGGGCTTAGGTATTCCTTCGCCTCTTCGTCCACGAGACCGATGACGTGCATGGGGTCATTGGTGAAAATGGACAGAGATCGAAGCATGACCAACACCTCTGACACCTGGTTCTGGGTGCAGTAGATGAATACCAAGGTCATATTCTGTCTTTTGTTTACGTTCGTTGGTGAATCCTTGCAAGTGGATCTGCAGACATCCTCTCCTTGGATATGGGATAGATGCCAGAGTAGAACGCCAATGGAGAGTTTGAGATGTAGATACCACATCCCATCTGAAACACAACCAGTCCCTGCACTCAAGTTCTACGTGGCTTTAGGAGAACTGCGTACTTGCCCAAGTGGTCGCTTGGACTAACAGGTAAAAGTTTTCATTAACTCAATAAAGAGTTGAATGAGTATTTTTCTTCCCAAAATCATAGGTTGTGGTTGCTTATTTAGGCCTTTCGCATTGTGAGTTGTAGAATTTGTATATCTTTTCTTTGCGAATAGCGACTTTTGTATCTTCTTGTAACATTTCTATTAGGCGTAACAATTAAGCAGCGAAAGGATAAATGTGGGAGGGGAGGAGTAAATTCTCGCGCAACAAAAATATTTTAGAACCGCAGGAAACCTGACAATCCCACCAAAAATTCATTTTTCTATGAATACTTGTAAACTAAATGGTAAATAAGGCTCTCTTTGTTGTCCCACGAGTAGCATTTACGCTACACCCAGCACCCGGGCAGGAATAAAAAACGTCTCTAAGCAGTGCAACGCATCTTCGCATTTTACCGATATGTTTGGAAAGATTCATAGTTCCCAGGTATTCCCACATATACGGATGTCTACACCAAATTGCTCTCGGAGAGTAATGGGAATCGATATTCTTGGCACAGGACCTATATTTTTGTATATTTTTCGGTCCAAACAAAGTTCAATCTTCTGCACTTTCAGAATGACCCACGGCAGTGCATAATTAATGCAACAAAACGTCTGCATTTTTAAACACGTTTCTAGCTTTTCTAGCTTTTATTTCATTTGTGAATATTTCATTTTATTCCGATTTCCTCCTAGACTTTAAAAGTCTTTAAATCTATTTCTTATGTATCATCTCACGTAATTTTTGCACTGCTTTTGCAAGGAAGGGTTTGGAACTTTTCTTTTCAAGAAGATACTTGTCCTGCCAGATGATCGAATTCTGGATCTGAAATTGCCTGAAATTACGCGCAACATTAACGGCCCATCAAAGCAGACTGAATTCATGGGAGGGGGGGAAAAGTGATAATATTAGGTTCTTGCAGCAAATTGTTCGAAGGAGTTCTTCCGCTCTCTGCGTCGTTTCATTAAACTCGTTTAAACAGTTTTTGTGTTTCCTTACTCAGTCATTGTAGTCAGTCAGTCGGCGCATATATGTAGATCTCATGACGTTCAACATTGATCTGGAGACCGTTTTTCGCATATACCGTACATATCTCAGGGTTATATTTTAAGCTGTTAGGTTGTGCGCTGTCGAACTCCCTCATCTTTTCCTCATGTAGAAGAGGTGTATGCCTCCAGGTCAGCGTAGATATTGTACGAAAAATTGTCTCTGATCCTTACCCGACCTGGGAGTTCTATGAAACTTTTCGAAACTGCGAATCGAAAGCATCTAGGCGCATTCGTTAGCGCATTCGTTATGTTGCTTTACTCGCAGAGAGTTGATGAGTCAGAAATTCCATACACACCACTATATGTGAGAAATACTTATTACGATGTAAAAGATCGCAACGATGTTTGTTGATATTAGGAAATTTGCTATTGTTACAGTGATACATGTTCCCGGATGCATGCACCAATATCTAGTCTTCCATTGATAAATTTTTATGTATTTTCCCCTTTCCGGTATAGCCACAGAAGCATTTTGAAGGTTCCGAGTAACATTTTTGGAACTCCCCTCCTGTTGTTAGCCTCTAGCCGAAAAAGGGAAGCCTCCACGCTTGGTCACTTTCGCTCCCACTTGAAAATCGCTTCAGTTGCAATTGTGCTGCTGTCTGAGGCAACCATAGCAGTATTGCAGCGAGTTATCTTGAGTAAAGTGTGCTATGACTCAATACTAGTAGCGAATCACCAATTAAAACTGCAGCTCAATGCCGTCATCCAAGCCAAAGTCAGTCCCATAGGGCATCAATGTCAATGCATTTCCTAGGACTTTCCAGGGTTGACAACGGTTAAGTCGATTAAGTCTAAAGGTTAAGAACATTAAAGTCCTTGCTGACCTAAACTAGCGTAGAAAGATTCTGAAAAAATTAAATTCCATATTTAAAAAATTCAGATGCATACCTGCATGGACCTAAACAGCAGTAGTATCGACCGATTTTTAGATAAAACTATTCAAACATTAATTCTCCACATCCAGTGTGCTACAGTCAAATTTCCATTTTTTAAACCTAGGATTCTCTATTGGAGAGAATATGCAGGGTGTTTCAAAAGTCCGAACTCATGGGTATTTTGAATTGATTAAATTTCTCAATGAATGAGTGCACCTCTGAATATTTCTTAGTACAGAAGTACTAAGAAATATTCAGAGGAGGTTATGTGCCAGGATTGATATGCGTTTGCAAGTTCATGCATCCAATTTGAACATTTAATGAAATAAAGGTAAATTAGGTAATCTGCCTGAGTCCGAACTTTTGAAATATCCTGTATTTAACAAAGAAATCAGTATGCAGTTCAATGAGAGTATCTGTCGTGATACATCTGGAGAAAAATAAAAATTCATCTCGCTTATATGCATAACATTAAAATCTATTTGAAAATGCATCATTCGCACAATATTATCTATTACGCAACTCCACCCCATTGTCGTTCAAATTGCACATTAGTTGCATGTGCTCAGTAATTGAGAAGTGACCAGGAGGGAGGGAATGCTTTGAGGAATATATGAAATACATGTCCACAGGCGCTTCCCTTTACGGCGTGTAGCTTGCGCGCCCAGTCTTGAACAAAAGCCCTTTTATCGCTCTCCCTTTCCTCCAAATTCCACATCCAATCCACAGCTGCAGTGAATGGTGTTTCGTCGACGTCATGAAAGGCACCTCGAGCGCCGTGAATCACGGCAACACCCTCTCGTTCTGCCGATTCACATAAGTTCAAGTGCCAGCATTCGTTCTTCGATGGGATACAAGCCTTTCTCAGGAGACAGTGGTCCACCCTGTAGTTAAATCTGCACGGGATGATCGTGATATTATGGGGATGTCGATGAAAGTAGATGTTGAGGATGTCTTGGTCGCCAAGCGTGAACTGCCCCTTAAACGTTTCATATATGGAGCTTATTTCCGACGACCAGGCAGGTCCCAGTGATCTCATTCGGGTAAGGTTCATCAGCAGAACGCCTGTATTGATGCCAGTAGGCCCGTAGAACGGGAAGGGAGTGTTCGGTTTCCTGTAATGGCTGTACCCTTCAAAATCCTCCAGTTCCTTAGTAGCACCGATGAAGGACCAGGGACTCATGGTTTCAAACTGCACCCAGAGTTCTTCCAAAGGTGCCAAGAAGATAATGTCGGTGTCCACGTAAATCACAGAATCGTATTCGGGCAGGAGATCCGGGAGGAAAAGTCTGAGAGCAGCACAGGGCTTGTGATGGATGCTCTTATTCACTTGGTCCTGGGGGAATTTCACATCCCTCAGTTCATAAGTTCCGACATTTAACAATCTCGGAAGGTGCTTCTCTAAATATTCCCGTGCCTCAGAGTCCACGAATCCGATTGCGTGGAATGTCCTTGTACTGAAGATGGAAAGGGAACGGAGTAAGGAAGTGACTTCGAAGATCTTGGGATTTTTTGAACAGAAGACGAAGACCAAGATAATTGGGATATCGAATCCTTTCAGACATTGAAGATCCTTCAATTCCTCAAGGGGGCATTCCATGGTGGATTGGGTAAGGAACACAGATTCTCGGTCCCAACACCGCCACGTCACAGCCTGGGATCCAAAGTTCTTTCCTACAACAATGCGAAAAGTGAGCTTCATCTTCAAAATCTTTTGAAAACTTTTCGCTGATGCTTTGTTCCTCAAAACCGGAAAAGAATGTTCTAGACTGTGTCTCAATGTTCATTTACTGTGCCAACATGACCACCTTGCATTCGATCAGGAATTAATGGAATTCCAGCTCAATCTCATTCGCGTTTGTGCAAGGCCAATATGTAGAGCGTGCTCATTCTGCAAATCAAAAGACCGTCTCGAACTTCTTGGTTTCAACCAGGAGATATCAAAAATGCAGAGCGATGATGAATTGTGCTGAGGAGAGGTACATTTTCAATGTTTCTATTTCAGGAAGTGAGAGATTTTCCCCAATTCTTGCAACGAGTGACACATCCTAAGAGCACCTTGACACGAAAGACTTTACTAAGCGCAAAGAAAATCGCGGTAACTCTACAGGGTTAAACGAAATAACGTTCCCTAATAGTACAGAAGGTACCCCAATAGAAAGAAGGTCTTGGGGGTTTTGTTCAGTAGAGGCTTACAATATGTGTTCGAAATCCAAAAATTATCCTATTTTGGCAATTCGGTGTGAAGTAGTTAACAAATTTTTTCTTCATTTTTTTTCCCATTTTATTCAATAATAACGATTAAACATGCATTCAGTGGTCAATGCAGTGGTCTTCTGCCAGTGCCACTTGGAATACATTTCGGCCGTAAAAAAAAATTCGCTGGGTTTATTTTCCTCTTCGAGTTCATGAAGGACGTCAGTGAGCCACTTCTAAAGCGTCGATTCGAATGAGAACTTGACCCTTCTTCATTGTGCTTTCGTTCTTTCAAATGGTCTTTCGTGATTTCGTAAAAATTATATGTATGTAATTGTATGTATTTAATTGGATGTATGCATTGCATGCATTTGCCCCAATGCTGAATTCCCCGATTCCTGATGGGAATTTGAGTTGCATTTGCTCTCACGTAGGGTACCATGTCATGGTCGAAAGATTGTCTGGCCCTCGATCAACATATTGTTGCCGTTCTCAAGGAACTGGAACAGGTGACACTCGAGAGCTGTTTCTCAAACATTCTCGCCGCTCCTTGTCATTTTTCATCGTTACCAACATCAATTGTCTGACTGTGAGGACGAATAATCCGATTGGATCTGATTTTTACCGACCTGACCATCATATTGTTCAACGAAAAGCCGAATTTTGGGTATGTTAATCGTTCTCTGGATATTTACAAAGTTAAACAAAATTTCAAGATTAACCCCCTCAAAGCACTTTTTGGTGTGAAGAGCGCATTAAAAAAATGTTTGCTTTGGAAATGGGCTCATATGGAAAAATAAATTTGAAACAAAAGTTGTTCTCAGGATATTGATTTCAAGAGAACCCATAATTTAGATGTTCCCTCAGGGCACAATTTATGGATGGGGTGATTTTCAAAATACAGTGCTGCTTCAGGAAGGCGGGAAAGATAAAATGTTGAAAGTTCGGTAAGACTAGAATTCTTGCCGTATTATTTTCGGGAAAATTTCTTTTTTGAAGTACATCCCCTTAGGGAACATTTTTTGGGGTAGAGGGATTCGCATGAATTTCATTTGTGCCCAGGGAATGGAGAGGCATAGAATCCTAAAACTTACTACATAGGTACCTGTTAAGATGCAGATTTGAAGGAAAAATTTTTTTATTATTATAAATTCTGTGGTTGCTTACTTTTTTGGAGAGACATTTTGCTGGATTTTTTCCCCATTGAAACAGACTGATAGTCTGTTTCAATGGGGAAAAAATCCAGCTCAAGTTCCTTAAGCATATAGTTTTGAAATGTATGTTTTAAGTAAAATCCTACTTCCGAGGTACATCCCTTGGAGGCACAAATTCTTAAGTAGGGACTCTTCCAATACAATTCTCCGCTCCAGCGAATGAGGCAGTTGTAGAAAGCTGAAATGTGGTACAGAAGTATTTTTTGTCGCTGCTGAATTAAGGAGCTGCAGTTATCATTAGTCATCATATTGTTGAGCCAATTTCAGCAAGTTAAGAAAATAGCTTTTTGATTATTAGAACGAAGTCATAACTCGTTTAGTAGCGATTTCCACGAAACGACTATAGGAACGGTTCCTTTAAGAAGACAAGATTTATGCCATCTAGGAGCTACTGAAATATGAGAGAAGAAAGTGACGTCTAGGTCTTTGTGGTGGCAAATCAAAAGGTGGAAAACTTTACCAGTTCAAGCCTAGTAGATTAATCCTGGTCTTTTATGTAACGTTGGAAGCATTTGTGCCAGCTCTGCTGATCAGAAAACTAATTTGGCTGCGTTCGAGCTCACCATTCAAGCTCACCTTACTCAGTTTCACATCATCTCGCATGCATGCATGCATCTCGACGATGAACTTGATGATTCATCGAGTTCCCATCCCTTATGCTTGACTCTCCTTGTTCGCCTATCGCAAAGGACCTTCAACGAAGCGAAATGGACTGATATAGTTTATGAGGAGTTGGCGCATTCAAGCGCACAGCAACAATGCACTATTTGTTGAAACGCTGACCTATTCTTCCGATATTAGAAATTGACAGAAATTTCAACCGATGAAAATACGGTTCCAAAAGTTTCCGGAAAATATTTCTTAAAAAATAACTAGAGGCCGTAGAGTTTAGAACTTTTAACGAAATATGCCCGAGGGTATAGAAACATGTTTCCTTCAGTCATAAATCATTTATGTGGTTGCCTTCATGGTCTTCACATGGAAAAAGAGGAACTCATTTTGCAGCAGCTTTCCGTGATCCGCTTTCTGTGTTTGGAGGGTGCTAGCGGGACGGAAATTCATCGGCTGTTGGAAAAAGTGTTTGGGTCGGAAACCCTAAGCAAGACACAAGTTGAGTAGATTAGAAAATTTAAAGGACAGGTGACCGTTAAAGACGCGAATCGCAGTGGGCGGCCGTCGGCTGCAGTGACTGAGGAGAACACGGCCCGCGTGCAAGCTGACAGACGCATCACAGCGCGTGAAATTGCTGCTGATCTTGAGATAGGCCACAACGCTGTTGTCGAAATGCTTAGACAATTGGGCTATCGCAAAATTACAGTCAAATGGATTCCAAGAAACATGACGCCGGAACAGAATCAGAGACGTGTCGATGTGCGCCAGGACTTTTGCAGAAACATGCCGAGAATGGCATTTCTTTTCTGAACTCAATCATCACTGGAGACGAAACGTGGCCGCCTGTTTTCCTTCCTGAGGCAAAAGAACAGTCAAGAGAGTGGCGCCACATATAATCGCCTAGGCCAAAAAAGTTCAAGTCGCAGGCCTTTGTCAACAAGATGATGGTGACAGTTTTCTGGGACAATAAAGGGATATTGGCCATCGGGTTTTTGGAGCCCAATGCAACCATAAACGCTCAGCGATACTGCGCGACAATGAAGAAACTCAAGAAGGCAGTTTCGAAGAAGAGTCCAGCATTGCACAGGAAGAAACTCTTTCTTCTTCATGACAACGCCCGACCGCACACTGCTTTGGCAACTTCCTGCCCTTCTTGCCGAGTTTCAGTGGACTGTTGTTCCACATCCGCCCTTCAGCCCTGATCTTGCTCCCTCAGGCTATCACCTCATTGGATGCCTGAAAAATCATCGACGGGGAATCCATTTCCAGGAAGGAGGAGACCTCAAGGACGTAGCAACAAGCTGGCTCCGACAGCAGCAGCCCAACTTCTACAAACGGGGAATGTATTCTTTGCCCTCCCCGTGGCAAAAGTGCTTGTATCAACAGGGCGAGTATTTTGAAAGGTAGGGGAGATGTTGAAGAACATACGTATGAAGTTTCTACTCATTCGACACAGTAGGTATTTTTTTAATAGAAAATCATTCTGGAAACTTTCGGAACACCCCCATGAGGAAGGATTGTTTGGATGCCATATTTTTGGGGTGGGGGGTGAGTACGAGGCATCACGTGATCAGCCAAGCAAACAGCAGCGATAAAAGGCTAGAGAAGACTTCTATCAAAAGCTATTCAGTCACTGGTTGTCTGGGACATCGGTACTATCATCTCACATGAGCAAATGCCATTCAGCGATATCAATACTTTGAAGTATATTGACATTGGAAGAGATCTTGTCTGACCATCGGCAGATGGTCAAGCAAGATCTCCTCCAATTGTTTCTCCTCGACCTTCTGCTATCTGATTGGGATTCTAAGAACAGTGTACTGATGTAGAAGATGTAGTCAACGTACCCAATGTCGGACCAGCATTGAGCCAATATCCCCTAACATCATCGATCCAATATTGGGCCGATGCGATGATCCAATGCGCCCGACCGCACTTAAAAGTTTTCGGGAAAGGTTGAATTTCTCCTTCAGGCCATGAGATGGAGGTATAGGTCTTGCTTTTCGCTCAGTGCACAAAAGTACCCTTCCCTCTTTCCCTGTTATCGTCCGTCAAAGGAGTGTTTAGTACCTCGCCATATGTATCGTCTAGTCTCATCATACAGTATATCAATCAATTACCTCGGCTCTTCATCATTTGTTATCCTCATATTCGAGACAGAATCATGGAGCCCAGGCCATAAACTAGCTCGTATTCCCTATGAGAACCCCTGACGAAAACAAGGTGACCCTCCTAGTTATGCCTCCATGTTGGGGCGCGAATACTACAGTATAATGCCTCCCACAGGCCGTCAGACAGCCGATTTCCCTAACCAGTACAACATAAATAGCAATCGAACACGTCTAAAGAAAGCCCATGTTTTCTCAATCGAGCGTAACTGCTCGTTTGGAAGTTTATAGCCAACATCATCGATTCATCGATCATCGATTGTCCGACTAGAGAATTGAAAGTTCAGTGTAAGTGATTTACCCCCATACATCAGAACACATAGTCTAAAAACTCTTTTATAACTCCTATGACCCCCGATCCCTGATCCGAAAATCTTAGCACACTCCCTTGCCAAAATTTATTGTCAGTGAGCTCTCTACAGGCATTACAACCTCAACTTCATCAACGCTCAGCCCCACTAACATAGTAACTTCTTTCTAATTAAAGTACTCCAACACAGCAAAATTAGCCACGGGACGCACAGCTTGAAGCGCCTATGGGCGGACCAAGCTTTGTCTAAATGTCAAAAGTAAAAGGAATTGGGCACCCGAAAAGGATTTTAAATTATTCTTATCATTTTCCGGCATGTGTCTTGCCAGAAACAGTCCTAGCTATTTTTGATACCCTGACTGGACCCAGAATAACATAATTTAAGCCCACTAAATGAAATAAGGCACTTACAGTTTTCTCTTTTCAATAATGATCATTATCCTGCCCTCTCACCCAACTCTTAGCATGGGTGATCCCACCACGTAGGGATCACAGGGAAAAATAGGATGACCCTGTCAAAAGAAGCAATAGAACATAGCGAGTTCAATCCTCCGTTTCCTCATCCTGAGGACATAATGAGGGAAAGAGGGACTGAATGTGCAGATACTTCATAGAACAATACGGAGTCGACCATCCCCTGAAGTGTACTACAATTAGTACATTCAGGGGAAGACCAAAACCTCTGTACTGGTCTATGTCTCCTGCCTATCCATGTGACAGGCATGTGCATGGAAAGGGGATTGTACTGGTACAGGTGATACTAGTACTGCAAATAGAAATGCTTTCACCATGGGAATACCTCCACTAAAGAATTTAGAGAAAATAATAACGCCAATATTGGCCCAACAAGGGGCGCATAGTAATCCAAATAATGGTCCAAAATGGGTGCCAATATTGAGCCAAGATGTACCGTATATTCCTTGGCAGCCGGTATTAATTCGAAATTAGGGTGCTACTTGAGGGGTAGCTGGTTTTTGCTCTATATTGGCCATCATAATTTCGTACCATGTACTTAAATTCATTATCCAGTGGAGGTATTCCCATTTTGTAGAACGGAACCTGCATTATGTACCAGAATCTACCGTGGACATGTACCTGTATATATGCCCTAGATAGGCAGGAGAAATAGGACAGAACAGAGGTGGATCTATCCCTGACTTTACTGATTACAGTACATGTCAGAGGATGGACCATCCCGTACGGTTCTATGATATATCCGCAATATCAGTCCTTTATTTCTTCCTGCCGTTGAGATAAGAATATAGCAGAATTGAGTTTACAGACACTCCCTCTGCATTCTAGATATCCTTTTCGTATAGAGTCCTCATGTTCAAAAGGGTTCTCATCGGCAATATGAATATTATGGCCTGAGCTCCATGAATCTGTGTTGAATAAATGGATAGCAAATAAAGAAATGTCCGCGTTTATTGATTTCTATAATGAGATTAGGCGAGACATACAGCGAGGTACTACAAAATCCTGCGAAGGACGATTCCAGGGAAAGAGGGAAGGGAACTTTTGTGTACTATGAGAAATGCGAGACCCATACCTCCATCTAGTGGCCTGGCGAAGAACTTCAAGGTGTTAAAATTCTCTATCAGGAGTTCTGCAGTTCTTCTCAACGTGGGGATATGCCACGTAGGGCCCAAATTGGGCCGACACTGGTCTCCAACATTCACGTTCCGCCAACGTTTCCCACCTTTACCCAATGCGGGCTCAACGTAACGTGATATCTGGGTTAGTTGTATGATCACGGCTTAAATTTCTCTTCCTCAGATGCTACCACTATGTGGCCTAATTTAGTATTGTCTTTGAAACCCTCCCTCCCCAACCTGAAAATATAGTACCACCGAATGACTATGCTATAAGCCATTGGTGTCCAGTAGGATTTCGATGCTCGCCAAACTTGTGGCGATTATTATGTTCGGCTTGGAAGGGGGCAATTTAAACGCATTGCCCTTCCAGTCACTTCCGCAAGTGTGCCAATTTTCCAGGCTTTGAAACATCATCTATCTATATATATATATGCAGTATTAATTTTAAAATGCGCAATCTTTGGAATGTAGGTTTGAGGTCATCATCAATTCCCAGCATGTCTGTGACCGATTCGCTACATGTGGCGAGTGGCGAACGTATTGGACACCTAGGTTATAAGCATAAGCACAGTCTTCTAGCACTGTTTCCATCTCATCATGATACTCTTTGGCATATAAACCTTGTATGAGGTTGTAAAAGATTATGACCTGGAGATCTGCTCTTCCCAGAACTGGAGCTTAAGACATCAACTTTCCAGCTGGTAGTGAACCAGTTTAATGAAAATATTTCCCAATTGTTCTATATGTGGCGAACATTTTTTTGCAATTTTGGTTTACAACCTTCAGGGTATTGGAGAAACTACAGGGTTAAAAACACAACCATTGGAAAATATCTAGTGTATCAGCTGCAAAAATTGTGAAACAGCCCTCGTACATCCATTCGGCAGTCCCAAATCCAATTGCATGGCTAACTAAACCTAGACTTCAATTGTTGCTACATGGAACGAAATAAGAAGTCAGGCCAAGAGCAAAACTAAAGTGAATATGAATCATTCCATTTCAGGTGGGTAAATTTTCAGGAAATTGTTTCTTAACCATCTTGGAATCATAAAATAAATTCTCCTTATTCCCAAGTATTATTGGATAATCCATGTTGGATTATCTAATTAATCATTGGAAGAGTACCGACTCGAACAGAAACAGCAGATCACTAGGTGTTTTTAAATGCCAGATCTCTACCGTGTCCATCGCTCGCAGTTGCAATCACTTGCAAGATTTGCAAGACATTGTTTTCGACGAAGTGATATAGCAGCTGAAATGGCCCCTCACAATTATATCCAACGCATGCCAGGATTGGCTGAAGAGGCGCTGCAATTTATATCGCAATGTAGTTTATAACAAGCCCATAGGCTCTATCCATTCTATTCCATATTCGTAAAATTTCGTATTGAAGATGCGATGTGATGTTTCAAACTCTTGATAGAAAAGTTGGGAATTGAAACGCCTGGGCGGGCGTTTTCACTACCTCTGAACATCACCGTTTTGAACGCATGCTCCCAATTTGTATCACCCATCAACGTCCCAACAGTTACCTACTTTTGATCGACTTCTTTACATTATATTTAAATTTTAAAAAATTACATGTACTAGGTGACACCAATTACATTGCACTCTTGCAGATTGGTACGAATGAAAATCCGAGATTGCGCATACCTGGATGGGGCAAGACAAGGAGAAAGGAACGAGACTGTCCAGTGGACAGGACTGGCAGGAGGTGGAGCAGTACTGTCAGTCCCGTCCAGCAGTATTGCCCCAATCTTTGATCTCCATTGATCTCCATATCATTTGAAAGGGATGTGAATCCTGAAGTACTGAAATACCTTATTCATGGGCACCTGCATGACAAGAAAATAAGAGGAAACATTGAATATTTCATGCCATAAATGCCACCTGTGATTGAACGATATGCCAAAAACTGGTGCGATGCACCAGTCATTACTCTTGACCTTATACCCCACGTAAATACTGCCTAGGGAACTCGTGAGGTCAGGGGTCTCCTACGTTTTTCAGTCGCTTTGTTCGATCACCATTCTATAGTTTTCTGGGATTTATGAGTATGATTAAACTAAGAGAGCTAGATATTTAGCCATGGTTGAAACGCGACTAAGAGGAGAAGGAATGGGAGAAGATCTTGGAGATGAGTAGAAACTTTTGCACTGCGAAGTAAGGAGTGACTCGCGAAACACGGTGTAGGAATTATTGTTTGACCATTTTTGTGTAGCAACCTTGAAAACGTACAGTTAATAAATAAGAGACCGGTGAAAATCGTTCTGTGTCTAAAAAGAAAAATGCCATCTCTTTCAAGTTTACACTCCTCAGCAAGAAAGACCACATGAAGAAGATCGTGTTATATCCTTTTAGAAGCGATAACCAGCAGAATTCCTCCAAATGAGAAAATAAAGATCATTAGGAACGTCAACGGTAAAGTGGGGAAAGATAAAGCAGGCATTGAATCAGAGCTATGAAGTTTCGGGAGGACTCGAGAAATGAAGATGCCCAGAGACTGTCTTCGAAAAAACCTGGTCATCATGAACGGATTTTTCGAACATCGAAACTCACAAATTCTCCAGCAAACATATTAGCGGTGTAGGAACGTTCAGCTAGAGTCAATACAATGTCATCAACGTTGAAGGTCCCAGGCAAACATTGCGTAAGTGTCTTAGCAGCGTTATGGCACTATGACACATTCCTAAATTGCATTTTTAAATCATATTTCTGGTATAATAGAGCATGCCAATCCAATAGGGGACACTGTTTTTTAAGAAACGTCCGTGAACCTATCAAGTGTTACTAACTAACGTAGACCGAATGCTTCTGCATCGACGTTCAGCAGTGTCATTTATTAAAATCTTTGGTCGTCGAAAGTCGACTGACAGGAGAAAATTTCTTCAAAAAGAAACGGCAAAACAGATTTCGGTCTCGAGTAGCACTAACTACCCCTTGCCCATCAAAAAATATTCCTTCCTTCATTTACATTAGGGGTGTACAACTCAAATGGTTGTGAGGGCCATTTCCAATTTTTACTCACCTACCGCGGGCCGCAGCTGACTGGCCATAGCTGTCGCCAACAGGGCAGGAGCCATAGTAGCACTTACAACGCAACCAGTCATGGCGGGCCGCAGACAAGGGCCTCGCGGGCCGTATGTTGTGCACCCCTGATTTGCATTCATGGTCTAGCATTAGTAGTTTCATTCTCTCAGATTACATGCATGATAAAGACTTCATTCATCACATTTCCATGGTCTCAAACCAAAAGAACAATACAATTTAAATTCAGGGCTCTAACCCCCGGCTCCTAACAGCAAAAACTACTGCTGCCTTACCCATAAACACTTGGAATTCTTTATTTACTCTCTGGAATGAAACACGAGAATACATAGCGGCATTGGTTACTCAATTGTAAAAGTCGTAACACTGTATGGGCAGCTCGCATAAAAACAGCATATTAACAAATATGTGCGTGTTTGTTTGTCTTTACATGTATGTTTGGGTGAATTCAGTGTTCAATAAAAACTTCAAATAATGATGTGAACTAGAGCACGAAAGAATACGTACTATAGGATCGACAGTGTGATCTTCAATGATGAAGAGCATGATAATTATCCGAAGAAGTTCGTCAACGGCGCGTTCCAGCTGGTCTTGCTCCCCATAAATTGACTTGAAAGCTTGGTATAATCGCCATAGTCGTCAGAAACTTGGATGGCAAGGCCCAACGATGCCTCCTGAGATCAAACGGCGACAGTTTCCAAGCTGTGTTGCCTCGACTATCAACAAGTGCCAAAGTCAAACATTCGAACGAATTGGATTTCATCTTCCTGAATCTGTTTTTTTTTTTCCAATAAATTTAGCTTTATCAAGAGTGCGCGATTTGCGTCAAGGCGGAGATAGATTCTGGACCCCGGTAAGGCCGATACCCAGACAGTGATGGCATCAATGAAAAGAATGTCGTGTTCCGAGAGGATTGCAATTGAAAATAAAATCTTTTAAAGTCGATTTATAAAATTCATTACAATTTTACCTGTTCTTCAATTAAAGTCAAAAGAACAAATTTCTATAGCTACTATTCAATGGTGGAGTTCAAAACATCTTGCTTCAGATCTTATACCTACACGATTTTGAGTATTTGTGGTAAAACTTGCAAATCGCTACATTCTTATTTCGCGCAATTTGCGAGGGCTCCGCTAGTTAAGTCAATATTTCAATGCTTATCGCAATACTCAGATGAACGTTGAAATTGGCCGAATGTTGGGCCAACATTGCGATGTCACTTGTTGGAACGTTCACCCCCCCCCCCCCCCCCCAGCAAGCAAGGCTACGTTGGACCAACGTTGTATCAACGTTCCGAACGCTTATTCAATGTTGATTTAACGTTATTAGCTTCAAATTGTTTGTGGGGACTCCAGTAGCTCCCCTAGTAGTGGGTCAATAACGACGATCAAAGTACAGGTGTATGCTCATGTTGTACTGATTGTATTAATGTTAGTACTTTCCAGGGAACAGTCCTCCCTCTCTAGCTCTGCGAAGTGCCCACCCAGTAAACAATTTGAAACACATAACGTTGAATAAACGTTAAAGCAACATTGAATTAACGTTCATAATGTTGGTATAACGTTGGTCCAACGTAGCCTTGTTTGCTGGGCACCCTAGTAGCACGTAATATTGAAACAACATTGATTCAACGTTGATTCAATGTTGTGTGCTACTAGGGCATTGCTTTAAATCGGTAGAGGCTCCATTTGCTTTCGGCGAAATATATTATATCTAGCTCCTCTCTTGTATATACCATACGACCCATGCTACCCCATGCTACGCATTGCTACCATCTTCTGTACCTTCTTCTACCGT